TGATATCTAACATAGAAAAGTCAAGCAGTCCACAGTATGAAAGGCATGAAAGACCCACAACAGCTTTCCAGTCCATTGTGGGGTAAAACACAGACACCCCACCATGCAAATGAACATTCATACCTAAGGGCAATTGATCACAAAGTTTGGAGTGAGAGAAAAAGTGCGATTACAGAACTTCTGGATAAATTAGAGGACCGCAAATATAGATTTAAGGAGGGGATTGCATCTCCAAACTCCACTACTGCTGAATTGTATTGTTCATCCGCTCCAGCCGGTGAACAATACCTCCTTAAGACCGACCCTTAACAATCATAGACAGGTTTCAGATATTACAGGAGTTAATCCCCCCCTTCAACGACAATCCCCCCTTTTAACGACCGACCTCCAGAATCATAGGCAGGTTTCAGATATTACAGGCTAACAATGGAACCAAACGACCCATTCATCGCTTACCATTTGCATGTTTCCAAGCAATACAAGGCCTCCTATATAAAGCCTCAAAATCACTGCGGATCCAGACATTTGAATTGAGAAAGCTTCCCGGAGAAGTGGCGAAGTCCAGTTGATTTTTTTTAAAACTTTTACGGAATGACTATGACCTGGATGCCTGAGAATCTTCATCAGCATACTGCTGCTGAAAGTTTTGTTGCAAGTATAGAAAAAAAAAATTCACAAATCGAAAAGGTAGCACTCCTATGCAGGTATGTGAACTTTCTTCCATTTTTTTCCACCCAAATCCTCAAAATAAAAAGAACACCAACCAACGCTGGCGTCGGAGGATGTGGAATTTCAGGATTAGAGGGCACTGCTCTGATGGATGTCAGTTCCTACTTGGTTCCTCGTGACTCAATCAACTCCTCCCAGCAGAAAAATGTCCACCATAAAAAAGACTCCATTATGGTATTTCTATAATTTCATCAATATAACAAAACCTAAACCTCGCAGTGAAGCGGCACACAGTGAAATCCACGCAGTGGGAGCGTTTACGGCTCCTACCTCAACTCATGCTACTATGTGACATTTGCTCCAGGATAAATATTTAATCATGAATGCTTATTATATATTTAAGCCCATGTAGTCTTTTTTATAGTGGGCTAATACACTTAGAGCCCATGTAAACATGTCTTATTTAACACTTAAACATTTTTGCAGCTTCAGATAGATTTGTTTTTTTTTTTGGTCCAGTATGGCTCTTTGTACAGTTACGCTTGCCGACCACTGATCTAATCATCATGTTTTTGGACCATAGGACCAAAACCCGGAGCCGACTGATGAAAAGCTACAGTGCTACAAACTGCGTTACATGTTTAATAATCATTTCCAATTTCAAAATGCAAGCTAAATGTGTTCCATAGGCTGGAGAAAATATATACATATATCTTTTCTTTGCCAAACTTAAACAGCACTAACTTACCAGACAGTACTTCAGAAAAAGAGATATGAGCATAATTTTCTGCTGTCGGTTCATGAGAAAGTTCCAGTTCACTGAGTAATAATAGTCCAATTGTTTTTAAGCCTACCGAACCATCAGCGTGTGTCTCATCCTCTCTTTTAAGCATCGGATACTTTAATCAAAGATGCTCTCTGTGCTTTGACAGTGTAATGATACAGACGCTGAGGTAATGGCTCTAGCCAAACTTCTGACTCAATGAAAGCACTTAGGTTGTTATTAAATCTTATTCAGACAGCTCTTTAGTCTTTTCTTTTAACCTTACTTGTTTCTTTGCATTCTGTCTGCATCACTTTCCGCTGCTCTCAATTTCTCAATCTTTCATCTACTTCAGCTTTCGGCTTTCCTTTATTCCCCTTTATTCTGCAGTTGGTTAAATTAAAACAACACATCCACCAACAAGGTATTTTAAGTCAGAACCAAAAAATGGCAGGTTAAGTTTCCTTCTAACACTGGCTAGATTTATTTCATCTGATACATTCTGAGTCTTCTTTTTAATGCAAAGCGTTTTTGTTCGCCTGGTGGCAGATACACTGTTTAGGAAAAGTGAAGTAATTCCTTAATAATGATCATTATGCATGACTTTTCATGAACTACCTGTGACATTTCACCTCAGATCAATACTGAGTCAAGATATCATCGCCTTCTACTCCTGACCACTAACTGTGCTGGAAGCGTGATTTCACTGGGAAAGGATTATTTAGAACATAAGGGGGGAAAGGACAAATATTTATTTTCCAACAAACTGTGTCACAGAAAATATCTATTGAGGTTTTTCACAAAGGTGATTAGATTTTGTGTATTGGATTTTGGAGTGGTTTGATTTGAAGATAACCACAATAATAACCTGGAATTATTACAATTCCAGGTTTATCACGTCTGCATCCCAATTTTCTTGGAAAAAAGGTTGTAAGGTTTATAATTTTCTGCATGTTTGTTTTTCTGACCTTGTCTATATAAGCCCTTATTAACATTTTTATTCTGGGCTCAATTTTTAAAAAATACACATATTTGCTGCACATATGCACAGAACAAGATTTGCCAAAGTATTTCTGGTCCATAAACGATTATAAATAAAATTACAAAGTACTTTTGGTCTTTAAACTTCACTGCATTTGTGTGTGTATTTTTTAAACTACCTTGACATGCCTCGATACACAAATGCATTTTTTAAAACGGGATGGTTTGCCACCAATCACAAAGCTCCCTTGTATAAGCCAATCAAAAGAATGCAGTCCAATTGGGATGACACCCGGATATCACATCCTCTGTATCCCTGTGGATCTTATACTGTATGTGTGTGTGGATTTTTTTGTGCTTGTGTGAATCATGCTGTGCATGTATCGATCTTGTCCTTTGCATGTATGAATCACATATGTGTTTTTATGAAAACTGAGGCCGATCTAGCTCCGTAGTTTATAGGTATTAGATTGAATCTTCATGCTGACTATTCTGTCTATGGTTTTTCAGGGATATTGTAGTATCATCTCTAAAGTCAGCTGTTTGGATACAATATTTGACCCAGAAAGAAATTATTTTACAGTTGATCCAAAAACGGCCTTAAAGTTAACATAAAACCCGATCCAGAAACGCCCCTCTTTGGTTTCTTGGACACTCTTAACAAATTGGGTCGTGATGTGACATCAGTGGTCTCCTATGGCATGATGATTGCCAAAAGATGCATATTGAAGCAGTGGAAGGCTGACAGACCACCTAATTTTGAATCTTGGATCAAGGAATTTACAGGAATCTTGCATATAGAAAAAATTAGATTTGATTTAAAGCTACAGTGTGTAATTTTTAGCGACATCTAACGTCCAGACTGCAGAGCGCAGCAACATGAACATCTCCCCCCCACCGCTTCTCCCCCCCAACAGTACGGCGAGCGTTACGGGACAAAATGTCTTCCACGACGTCTGCATCACCTACCTTCTCAAGTGATGAGGTTTGTTTACATAGATAATTTCACAGATAGTATTCTCAGGCATAATGCTGCCATCTATTGTTCAGTACCGTCTCAGTTCATCTCTCTCAACTTGCCGTAGTTACTTTCGAGCGTAATGGGCGATCTCGCAATCGCTAGTTTGTTGGCTCTGCGCTGCCGTAGCGAAAAGATGTCTGCCTCCATGGCTGCGAGACCCGCTCCTATGTAATTATAAATAACGAATTCTAAGGCAACACAAATATTAAGGTTAAGAGGCTGAGCTCGTACATAATGATAAATAACATAGTTATGTATAATATATTAGATTTCTGACTGTATATCCCTGTAATTATTACACACTGTAGCTTTAATAAACTGTCCTCAAAAATATTACAAAATTTGGAAACCCATTTTAGAACAACTGAAGCCATAAAGAACCCCTATCTCACCCTCTTTTTTTGTTCTTTTTTACCCCATTTGTTATGAATAAAGGTGTGGACACTTCTAATTGACTGGTTGAAACTCCATAAAGTGTGTTTTTTTTTTTACTTTCAGTATGTCCAAAGTGTAAATAAACAAATAATTTTTATATAATATTATTTATAGTTTGTCTAATGCTTTTTTTTGTGACAAATGCTAAAGGACTCACTAAAGGACATTAATCATTGTCATGTTCTTGTTGTATACCTGTAAAAAATCTATAAAAATAAAGTGGAGAAAGTTGATCCAAAAACTGAATCAGTCAAGTCCAGCTTTAATCATTTCACAGCATTTTTTACAGCATCATTTTAAGATTTGAATTCATGCTTTTATTATGACTTGATTAGCTTACTGCGATGCTCTTTATAACCAGCAGAGCTTTTGATGAATAATATATCTTCAACTGGTTAAAACTGGGGCTGCGAATCATTTACCAAGAAAAAAATCAAGAATCACAAGAAAAGCTTTTTTCCCAAAGTTTGAGCATGGTAAGTGTTTCGACAGATTTTATTTTGTAATTTTGTATACACGAGAGTATACAAAAAGAAATTTAGTTTAAAACAGCTTTTTGCAGCCTTGAAAAACAGTAATAAATAAATATATTTTCTACCTATACAGAAATGTTTAAAGTTAGGGGAATTTTAAGCACCTTACAATATATTCAGTCATTCCTCTACATTGATGGCGACAAACTACATTGTAGCACCAGCTGCCCTCTGGCACACTGATAGAAGCAATGCTGCTGTACACAGGACCCACCAGGCCCTCTAACCGCCATCAATAGGTGATGCAAGGATTCGACAGAGATGGATGCAGCGGGGTTTGAACCTAACTACTGCATCCTACACCACTGTTGCCCCATTGCACGCAAAATTGTAAAACAAATCACTTTGCACCGCATTTGAAGATTTGTTCTGTGTACAAACAATGTTTGCAACTTTTCAAGACATGTAAACCTTACAAGGATCAGGCCCTAAGTGTTTGCACTAACAGGGACTTTTATTTTAAAGTTTTCGTCGTCTTTTATGAGATTCAAGAGATTTCCATTATCTGTTATACATGTTAAAGCGGTATCTTTGAATCTGGATGATATGGGATGTTTGTTTTTGGTGTCATCATATGCCATCAGAATGACATTCTCACCTCATTGGTTGAGAGAACAGAGTCCTCATCCAGACTGAGCACGGCATCGGTGGTGATGATGTCGTGGGGGAAAAAACGACTGCTCATCGTCTGCAGGAAAAAAGTATATTATTATTCATAATATGGTCTAATGAATTCAAAGCAAGAAAAAAATTAAAACATATAATTAATTAAACTCTGCAGAGACAAAGAAATTTAAAAGGTCAAGGAAACATGCTTTATTTCATTTTTAATTGAATGTTATTGGTAGAGAGAAAAAAAGTCTAAAGCTAATAAACAAATAGTTGTTTCACCCCCTACAGTGGGTCTGTCGATCAGCGAGCACGCCTAATAGCTTTTTTGTGATTATCAATTCAGTGGCTGACAAAAAACATTGGGGACCCTGATCCATCAGCCTGAAGATGGCTGCTGAAGTTATTGACTCGTAATTAAAGCATGAATTATTCAACTGTTTCTTTAGAGAACAAATGAAGGTGCAGAAATTGATGAATGGGGAAAAGAAAAGTTATTTTGTGTTTCTTCAAAAGTTTGCATACTACTGTACTTTATTTAAATTTACAATATGCTGCATTAATTTACAAAATGTACTTCAAAAAGCTGAAAAGCTTTACTGATGTTTACAGGTGTGCATTTCTCAATCATAGATGCTAAATAAATAACATATTCTCCTTATCATTAAATCAAACTTTGATGACTGTGTTGTTTTTCTTTTGTTTATTACAACACAAATATCTTTTCATGAATTCCTTTAATCTTAATTAGTAATAACATTCTTAATATTTTCTGCCACACTTTCTTCTTCTTTCATTGAACTTTTTATCCATAAAATTCACCCTGTTTACAGAAGGTGTCACAGTTTTTTTGCACAACAAGGGCACAGAAAAAACAAACAAACTGCTGCTTGCTTTTATTTTTAATTAATGAGATATTTGAAATTGTGTATTCCTCTCTTGAGAATGTCAAAATAAGCATCCATATTACTTGGAAGTTAAAGGTACCCCAAGGGTTAAGGTTATGCCCAGAACTCTTGGTTATCCAAATTAGTTTTTTTTAAACTGTAAAGCTTGTTGGGATCTGGAGGCTTGGTCCACTTTCTCCACCAGAGGGCGCACAAGATCTCCTGGGGGCATGAGCTGACTCCAACACCTGTCTTCCATCTGCTCATCAGGAAGCCCTATTTAAGGAGGAGGAGGCTAACACTTCCCTGCCAGAGTGTTTGCCAGTAAAGATTGAGTCCTGTCTGAAGACCTGAAATCCTGGAGAATTATCTCTGTCTGGAATCTGCCTGCACTCAGTTAAGCCTCTGCCCTCACTGAGGGCAGGCAGGCAGGCAGAGGGCTGAGGGCCCCTCAGCCCTCTGCCTGCCGACTAGCCTCTGGACCCTCAAGGTTCCCCGCCTGCAGCTCCGTTCCACCCTTGAGCAGGTATTAACTCCAACATCAGAAAACCTGCAATTAACCTGGATCAACACTAACCTCTCTGTCCTCCTCAGTGGTGTTCCCCTCGTAACCTGTCTGCCGAACCAAGGACCAGTTCATACTCACTGTATATTTTGTAAGTAAACCTTTGAACTTTTTCCCAGTCTCACAAGTGTTTCTGCATGTGGGTTAGACGCCTTGAACAGCCAACATGACAAAACTTATGTTTGAGAGGAAATGAGGGAGGCCTATCTCATACGACCATATGAAAATTCAGTTCAATTCAGTTTATTTAAATAGCGCCAATTCACAACACATGTCATATCAAGTCACTTTACAATTAAACCACATCATACAGTCAAATTGATTCAAAGAGGATTTAGAATCCAATGTATTTTTTGGTCCCATTTTTCAAATAAATGGCACCTCAGAACCCTTTTAAAATTATTGATAATCTGACAAATAAAAAAGTCTTTATAGCTGTTAGAGGAATCAAACACTTTTGAACCAGATTTTTACATGTTTTCTTAGTTATTCAAGGTGGTTTATATTTGGAGCTCAAAGTCTTTCAGATTAGGAGGCCTCCTTGCTATCACCCTAATCTTTAGCTCCCTCCACTCCCAGCTATTTATTCCCTTCAACTTGACTCTTGAAAGGGAATCTCACAAGAGCCAAGTTGAGAAAAGCAGTGCTAATAATCCAAATGTTAATTTCAATCAAAAGAAACTTATTAGTAACATAAACAAATATACCTTAGACCTAGCTCCACTGTTAACAATAATAATTCTGGCTTTAACTATATTCAAACCTTCCCTTGCAAATAAATCTATTCATTAAAGTAGTTGCAAAGTTTGTTTTTTCCCCTGTTATTTAAACCAATAAAAAAAAAGAACAATCCCTTCCTAATCCTTAGGGTTCAAAAAATGAACGGCGGTAAACCTTTTGCAAGGGCTTAAGAACAGCTTAATTTCGGGGAAGGCCTGTTACCTATTTAGGATGGGTTTGGGATTTCCCTTTCTAGAAGCCCATTTTTCCACCAAGTTAAAAGCCTGTTATCTTGGTTTAATTTCCAAAGGTTTTAGGGGTTAAAAAGGTTTCAACTCTGTAAAGGCCAGTTTCCCAAAGTTCATCCAATTTTCCAAGGGACTCTTAATCTGGTTTTAGGGCCCTTT